GATGCCAATATTTGTTATTTCTGTTATGAATGTAAGTTCCTTAAACTCTGAATCAACAGATAAAAGGATGATAAAAAAAGAAATCAATTCTGTTTTTAAAAGCAGGTGACTTCTTGAAACCAATGAACCGTAGATTATCAGTGTCTTTTATAACATTATTAACAAAACTTATTGAAGTACATTAGACTAAAATCTCATAGTTTTCTAATCAGATATTTTCTTGGAGAAAATATTGTTTTATCGAAAATATGCTTTCAAATTTTTGTTGCTTCAACTTTTCATGACTTTCGTTCTGAGATTCTTTCCATTAATGATTATTTAATGCAATTTAAGAGAAGAAACATCTGATAACACACAAATACAGTTTTTTTTACTGAATTCAAGATAATCTTCAAATTCATACAAAATAGAAAAACACAACCAATATTCCTTCAGTAATGTCTAAATATTAATGCTTGGTGAAATAGTACTTTTCTACTCTGCAGATTGTCATAAAGCGGAAAGTGAAGACAAAATAATTTGATTAACATATCAAAAGTTTGTTTTAGGTTTTGAAGTGCTTCCTGGTAATGAATGTCAATATTTGAAGCTAGAAGTATTCAGTAAATGCCTTTATTGATTTATCGTGAAGTGCTGAAAACCAAAAAGCTGATTCTCTTTAACCAACAGCTGAATTCCATAGTTTGGTCTATAAATTTCGGTTTATAATTAAAAATAAAGAAAAGCACAGATCATTGCTCAATGACTCCTTCATATATGAATGACTTATACATCAATAAATGCTTTTGAAAAAAATCTAAAGAAATTTGATAAAACATATCGATCTTTTTAGTGTGCTGTAAGAGTATAAATGAATATTTGTAATTAGATTTTAAATGATCTAGACAAAAATGCTAATCAGTCGGTCAGTCAGCTACAATGTAGGACCAGGCTAATACTTACAACAAAAAACATATTAATTACATATATTCTTCCTCGTGATTTCATTTTATGTCATTAAGGACTATAAAGGTGAAGTAAATAGCACACTAGTGTTTGTTTTTTTTACGGACTAGTAATATGTATATTTTTTTTAAAAAAAAGTGTATATATTTTATTCAATCATCAAAATTCAACAAGAAGTTCACCATCTGAATATATTTTCTTTCTGATAATCAATTGTAATTCTTTGTATACTCTATCAACAGTTATAAGTTAGTTTGATGAAATATTGAAATTAACACAAATAATAGTTTATATCTATCACTAGATATTTGCAAATTCATACATCATTATATTACATTAAGTTTACTACATTATAATTAATTACTAAATGTGTCACTCAATTTCGTGAATTAGTTGACGTTAAACGTTAACACCATTGGATGCTGACCGGCTCAGTGGTTTAGTGATTAAGAGCTCACGCGCGAAACTGATAGATCCTGGGTTCAAATCCCGCGAGGCAAGGTCGTGAATGTCCACCGCCGAGGAGTCCCACAATAGGATGAAACGGCCGTCCAATGCCTCCAGGTTTCCTATGGTGGTCTAGCTTCAAACGAGTCATGATCTCAATTATTGAAATTACTGCGATCTCCATAAAACCTTTTGTAGATACTAGTTAGTGATTATTTTAAAAGATATATTCCAGTTTGTGTTCACAAACTGCCATTAACTCCAACGCTAATAAGCGTTTGAATTATTCCGCTGATAATATTCTAGACCCATTTTCTTTCTTGCATACGTAATTTTTGAGTGTATTGCCGCGGAATAGTCACTTTATTACAAATTTTTAGGATAGATAAATTATGAACAGCATTATGCTCAACAATACATGTTTTGTTCTATTTGGTACTTGTAAGCTGTATATGTCTGGATCTCCATGTTTAGGATCACATTAAGAGTCGAACCGAACACCTTTCGCTTCAAACAATGAATCATCTATTAAGCTACTGGGACCAGATACCCATTAATCCATATATAGTAATAAAAACAGACAATAAATGAATAGTTTATCGTCTGATATTTTTTAGCAATTCAATAAATAGATTTCTTGATTCTCTAATTTGTTGGTTGAAATCATCGTTATTAACTTATTTTATAATGTAATTGAAAATAGTTGGTTAAACATTGTTCTGTTTATAAAACTATTTGTTGAAACATATATGTTTATTTAAAATGTGTTAAACATATTTAGTGATGAAATAAACATGAATGACAGGAAATGATTCGATATATATACTAACCTTATGATATTTTAAACAAATGTTCAATCAAGTTTATTAATAACTATGCATGAAATGTTTACCTTAATCTTGTGAACCACTATTTAAACTGTTATTATTAACAAATTTTCACTCTAAAATTTTGTTTACAAGTCACTTATCAAACGAATTGTTAACTTTCCATTAACATTTTTCTAATTAAAATGCTTATAAATCAATTTACTTAATTTAAGGATACGGTTTACTCATATAACGTTATCATTAAATATTAAACAGTAGTGAATAGCTATGTATTTTACTATTTTATTTATTTATTTTAACACAGATATTGGTACAAGGAGGCGCCAAATACATATGCGCCACACAAATCTCATTCGATATGTGTGAGGGCTGTAATACTGCGCGGGTGCCCAAATCGAAGCAGGTGGTTTTCTTAGGGGGCCACACCCCGAACCTTTGACCTGAAGTTCTGACACACAAGACAGTGGAGCATCGTAAGGAGATGCAGTCCCATGGAAGCCAGTGACCAACGATTGGTTCATATGCCATTTGTTCCCTCAGGATACTAGAGCCCATGTGCACCATTGATTTGGAATCCAAATCAGTGGTATTTTACTTAGTAAACCCTTATTAGTAAGAACATAATAACCATCTTTTAACTAGATCTAGGAAGCAAGAGTTCCTGACTGATCAGAAATAGTTTCTAAACCAATTAATTCAATATTATCTGTCTCTTCAATCAGTTTTTTTAAAGTTTATTTCTATTTTCAATTGAAGGAGTGATGGTAACAAAAACAAAGGCATATTCAATAATTTCTAAATGTCATGATGAAAACTATATTTTAAACGTCTTGATTCAATCTCTATAAGCTTTCTTTCATTTGTCTTAACACTATATATATTGGTGAATTTCAGGTAAGTTAGTTTATTCTTATATTAAGGGAAACATTAATTAGTCTGATATAAATTTATTCAAAATATTAGAACAATGAAAATTAATCCAACCATACAAAAAAACAAACTCAATTTATTAAGGAAATTACTAATCTTCTTCTCAGAGAAAATCACAGTTTAATTAAACATAAAACAGTTTAATAGAAAATCAGACTAGAATAGAAACATTAAGATTGCTAGCAACATAGTAGATTTATTCAGAACATTAAAAAGCGAAGTAATACTTTGGGCGTATACAGAATGTGTTAGATATTAAAACAATATTTAACTGTTATGTAATACCTATCTAATGTGTTTCTGTGGAAACTCAAAAATTACATACCTTAAATCCTAATTTATACGTTTGAAATTGAAGTACTTGAAAGATACATCGTACGAAAATGTAACATTCATATAAAAATAATAAAAGAAAAACATTTAAACTTTGAACAAAATAATAAATATCATGTCCACATATCATCATTCCTTTTTAAAAGATGTCATTAAGTTTTGAAGGTAATCATATTAATAAACTGACATCGTTTGAAGGAACTAAACAACCCTCAATAGCTACATAATAAACTAAAATGTTTTATGGTTGTGGACTATTAAATTTTAATTCATTGATATGGTAGCCTGAATTTTCTACCAACAAGTGTAAGATACAGACGTCCAATCGACTGCTTATTGGGGTGGAGAATAGCTGAACAAAGTGGAAGAAAAATGGTACACCTAATGATAACGGATGCACATTACAGGATCCACAAAATACCAACACGTCATAGAGGACCGAAAAACGAAGCTACAAAGGACACTCAAGTCAGAACATTTGGGAATCTTGACAACAGCCATGAAGATATCAGGCAAACAACACAGAGAACAAAGAAGAGGCACCCTAAAGACGAAATTAATGAAAATCTTAAACCATCCATGGAAGAAAACACAAACAACTGCGTGGTTAACCAGTCAAATTCAGTGATGTCAAAGTTTCTTTCTTATTGCTCTAAATTGCGTGTGAAATCATTAATGGATATTAATAAAGAATTCCAGACTAAGATGAAATAACTTTTCAATCCTTTTTTTTCTTTAAATGTTTCTCCAAAAAATGATAAATACATTCAAATCAAAATTTGTTATTATGTACAGTGTACTACAAGTGCATAAACTTATAATTTTTTTCAAATAATTTGGTCATTTTATTTTGGCACAGACCAACATTCAATAAATACAGACAACTTCGAAAAGGTAACTGAACATCACATTTTTTTAACTATTCAAATTAGCATTATATATATATAATGAAAGTACTTGAGAATAAAACTTTTAGTTCGTATGTTCATTCTGTTATTTAAACCCTGCTTATAAAATACTGTAGCTTAAATGTAAAGATTGGGTTTTATCTTTCAGGAATAGTATGATGTATATATTCACATGGTACCAGTTTTTTCATGAGCACTTGTTTTTGACTGATCTATATTTAACTTTCAATTTACCAATAATTTATACAGAATAAGCATTGCTTTTCTTCTTTATGTAGTTTTATTATATTTATTGCTCTTCATTTTTTGTTTCCAGTAGTATTTAGATACATAAAATCGATATTAGTGATTTTGATATTCACTATTAAAAGTCAATAAACTAACTTATTTACTATGAACACATTCCGAATAACATATTGAAATTCTTGAAGTAATAGATTTTTCAAGTTTTTGTAGTGCAATATTCTGATGTACACCAGTAAACATGAAAAAGATTCAAAACTTCCTGTTTAATGATCACAAACAAATGATGCAGTAAAAAACAATGTTTCAAAAAATCATTAAAAATTAACTAAAACATATAGCAGCAATTCAAGGTATCACTTACCGAATAACATTAGAAAATCTCGATAAAATGGTGCTATAAAATGAGTTTTTAATATAGCTAGATATGGTTTAAATTTAGGAAATACTTTTGAAAAACCAGTAGCTTCTGTAGCAAAATTAATAAATGCACCTGTAGCAAGTATTCCATGTGGATGAAAACCAACTAAATAATTAACATCCATAGATAAATTTTCATTTATTAATTCATTATTAAAATGATTATCATTTTTATTATTTATAATAGAATTCATTAAATAAGAATGATAATTAATATGATAATTATGAATTTTATTAAATTTAATAAATTCTTTACTAATTACTAAATGTATTGGAAAATAATCTGCTAAATATTCCCATAATTTTAAATAACGTATAAATTGTTTTGGATGTCCACCATGATTTTCTGAATCCCAATCCCATAACCAATAAATTATATATAGAATAAATAAAGTAATAATAATAATAATAATCATTAAATATTGTAATTCATTTATTGAATTTATATTGATTATTGATAATTTATAATTATTTATAATATATATATTGAATGTATTTAATAGCATAATCAGTAAATTATTCATTATTATATAACTTATAATGAATAATAGAAATAAACAAAATAAACCAGAAAATAAAAATGTCATTACATATAGATAAACAGTAGTATTTTGAAAGAATTCAGTAAATAAATAATATAAATATTTAGTATTTGAATATTCACGACGTTTTAAAATCACTTCACCATTATCATTTAATTTGACATCATTAATATAACCATTAGAAGAAGAAGAAGAAGAAGAAGAGGAAGAAGAAGCGGAATAAGAAGAAGAAGAGGAAGAAGAAGTTGACTTGATCAGCATATTCAATTAAAATGAAGTAATAGATTATTTCTAGTTTCTTCAACGATACTGATTTCCTTAATTTTTTAGAATAGATATTATATGTAATGAATCAGAATTTTTAACTATCTTTTGTTGGTTTGTTTGCTTTATTATGGTTAAAATTTTAATAAACACAATGTAATGAAATAGTAATGAGTATTAACAATAAAAAAAAAACAAATTACAACTATAACTTGAATAAAGTTAATTTAAACAAAACTATAATCTAAATGTAGTGTATTGTTTATTATGTTTTTGTAACACAATTTTTTTAAAATATTCCTTATTTGAAATCTGTTACTTACAATAAACAAATGTAGGATATTGAAAATAAATTTAATAAATATTGTACCATTTAATCAATTTATATAAATAAAATTATAATTCAATATGAGATAAATAAAAATAGACTGAATATTAAATAAAGTTCAATTAAACTATGGACTTGATCATTTGATTGATTTATTAACAAAAAATATTAATTTTTGATTTATTATGATGAATTTTTTTTTTACTAAAACTTATGTTTATGTGAATATGTTTAAATAAAACAACCAATCTGTGTTTAGAATTTATCTCATATATAATTGTGATTGTATAATGTATAAAATGATCCAGGGTTTCCTGTCGACTACCTCCAATCACTATCTAATCTCAATATATAGTGCACTCAGTGTCGAGTTATCTAGACTGGTAGCCACATTGCAACATGATCGATAGCATTCGAGTTGCTCTAAATAAGGACTTGACACACATGACATTGATCACCACCCAGTGATCAATCAATTGTCATTACATCTCAGTCCTACAGGAGATCGATCGCGGCTCGGATAGCTCAGTGATAACGTCTCTGACTGTGAAGCTGGGTGACACGAGATCGAGTCCGCCAGGGAGCACCAGTTCTCTCAAGATTACAGGTACACCTTGCTGACAAGTGCTAAGTAGCACGAAACCCGGGTCTAGTATTTCCTGTCGACTACCTCCAATCATCATCTAATTCGATTTTATTTGAAGCTTAGTAGGTTTTGATATCATCATTATGACTTTGTCATTTATTGAAATTAATTCTAATGTGTGTTACAAATTCCACTAACATTCAGTAGTATTGTGTTATTTTTTTAAATCCTGAAACAGAATTCTTTAAAGTCAGTCATTCAATTTGAAATTACTGCTTTGTATTTTTTTTTATTGATATATACAGTTAAACTGGAACTCGTTTCTATTTTGTGATCAAATGAAAAGGTTTACAGAACACTTTTTTTAACCATGTTACTTACTTACGCCTGTCACTCCCGATGCAGCAACGGTCGCCGACTAGCATTTTCCAACCCACTCTGTGCTTCTCATTCCTTTCTAGTTCTATCCAATTTTTGTTCATTCTTCTAAAGTCTGTCTCTATTTCTCGATGTATTCTGTTCTTTCGTCTTCCTCTTCTCCTTTGGCCTTGATAATGCCTTATGATGCAGTTGGGTGCTTTTCTCAATGTGTATTTTATCCACTTCCGACGCTTATCTTAATTTCTTGCTCCACTGGAATCTGGTTTGTTTTGTCCCACAATAGGTTGTTGCTGATAGTGTCTGGCCAAAGGATCCGAAATATTTTACGTAGACAACTGTTAATAAACACTTGTATCTTCCGTAGTTCTCCAAGTTTTTGCCCCATACAGTAGAACTGTCTTGACATTTGTATGGAAAATTCTGACCTTAGTGTTGGTTGACAGTTGTTTTGAGTTCCACATGTTCTCCAGTTGTAAATATGTTGCTTTTGCTTTGCCGATTCGCGTCTTCACATCTGTATCACATCCATCGTGTTAAGCAATGATGCTGCCCAGATATGTAAAGGTTTCTACATTTTCCAAATCTTCTCCATCGAGTTTGATTCGATTGGTGAATGTTGTGTTGTATCAGAGAATCTTGCTTTTGCCTTTGTGTATGTTGAGACCTACTGCTGCTGAAGCTGTTGCTACACTGTTCGTCTTCTCTTGCATTTCTTGTTGTGTGTGCGATAGGAGAGCTAGATCATCTGCGAAGTGTAGATCGTTCAGCTGTATCCTAGCTGTCCACTGTATCCCATGCTTCCCCCCAGATTTTGATTTATTCATGATTTAGCCGATCACTAGGAGAAAGATTTTTAACCATATATGCAAGCTTTTTCATTGGGATGATTCAACATATTCATTCAACAACTTGAATAGTGTATGGCATACCGATAAAGTTATTTGACATAACTCATAATGAAAATTTATACTGTTAGATTCCTTCAACATTATAGTATTTACCTATCGTTATCGTCCATCATTAACGTTAAATGAGGTCTGAGTAATACGTTTTCTCAATATGTCGATTAGGGAGATCACTCCAAAATTTTAGTGAATACCTTGTCTAGCCTTCGCATATTTTCTCACTTATTGCCGAGATAAATCTGTAAATTACAATATATATCCTTTAAAATAACCACTTCATCATTACTTACCAAAAGAAGCTACCTGAAAGCTACTAAAACTTCTTACTACTATCACAAAATAAAAGTCAAATGTGAAATCAATGATTTACAATTTACGTGTTAATGGAAGGATGGCTATTTCTTCACAACGTTATTTTATTAGTTTTAGAGATGGTGTGCTTGGTTCCTTTAGGAAGCTATGGATGTCTTTAGTTGATTCTTCTGAATCTATTTCAGTTCAGTGATAAAATGTACTGATGTTGATTATAGGCATACATGTTTAAAGAATTTTTTGAGTAGTCCTGAGAGTGAGAAAATAGATGCTGTACATGGTATACCGATGTTTCATTACTAAACTAGCAACCTAATAACAGACACCACTGAACTCATATAGAAATAAAAATTCACTTCATAGCATTCATACTTCACTGAAATTCTATCAATAAACTATGTCAAGTAATTTATTTGAAATATTTGTCGAATACGGAATATTCAATTCGGTTATGTTGTATGCAATAATTATTTTTAAACATGAGTTGTCAAAACATTTAACAAAAACGAATATTGAATTGTGGGTCGAAGATGGGTTGTGGCTAGCAGTGGAATCCAGGACTCGAGTTTTGTCCTCTTTGAGATTAGTCGGCTGGGTGTACTCGTGTCTGAATTAATGTTCACTTCGGGACCCGGACCCAGTGCCGTCCACCTCAAACTCCATCGCGTTATCCACTTTCCTATTGAGTCCTCACAGGCACTAGCTTGTACAATGAAGTGAAGTTTTAATTCATTTTGTATTGTTTGCTTGGACTTTCTCATTGATATTTAGGGTCGGTTTGTTCATGACATAACCGATCGTTGTTGATCATAAACCAAATATGTAACACATAATAGCAAGATTACTTGGTACCTTGAGGGGTTATTCTTTAAGTTGGTGTAGAATTATTCTGAAATACTAAATCAATAACCAGATTTATTCCGTAAATATTGAGCTAAAGGATATTTCTGTTGTATTTTCATAATTGATTCTCTCAAAATTAACAACTGTATTTGTATTAAATCATGCTATTCTTGTTGGTGGAAATAGTTAATTTCGTAGTTATTATCTAAGGATTTTAGGAAGTGAGATTCACAATTCTATACTGTTTATTATTTGAAATGAAATCACCGTTTCCAAACCTTGAAGCTACTTACTCAATGATTATTCATTGAAATTACTTTCGAAAGGTGAGTTTCTAGGGATTTAGTGTGAATCAACGAACGGATATTCAACTCGATTTGGAAATGGAAACGCGAAATTTCAGAAATTCTTTTTTAATGAGTTACAGTATGGGTTATGGCAGATCTAGTAACTGAACAGCCTGAAAATCGATTACAGGAGTATGAAACAAATGAGAAGCGCCGTCAGATAAATTACTGTTCAAAAATATTTATAAGGATCTTTAGAAGTGGATCTAGTACAATAACTGCATTCAGTCAATGTAAGAGAAAGATTGCAATCATTAGACTAGTTTATAGGACCGATAAGAACATACTATTATCAATACATTGTATAAACCATGCAAAAACTAACTTAATACCAAAACTAGTAATTGTATATAGGTTTCAGTGTATGATACAGGAAGATAATCAAACGTAACTTAATGTTCATTCAAAGGTTTCTGTATCATGCTTCGCTACACACCGACAGTGTGGAGAGTAATTAAAGATTTCAGATCCCAAGACAGGTTTACAAAGGGTGATCTTAGATTTGTTTTCAAAAATATATGGCTTAAATTCTCAGCTTACTAACTTACGGCTGAATTCTATATGTATATCGATATTTGTACTTCTAAGTGCAAATACAATATGCACCCGAAATCGGGAACATTCTACACTGATAAAAAATTTATGTTTTTGTAGTATAACCTATTGATTATATATACAATTTATTGATTAATTAAATCAAATTTTTACCAAACTATTTTATCATAAAATCAATCCTCAACTTTATCTCATTAAAAGTGCTCAATCCAAAATTTAAATTAAATCAGTTAAAACTCAACAGTTTTTGACTTTAAAGTAAAAAATATTCAAAATATTAGGGAATTTCATCTATTTCTTACACTTCCAACTCATATTAACGGTCTCGTATATTCTTACATCTGATTATAAAGAATCGACTTGATGCCTTAACCATTAAATTTACAGAAATTGGTATTGAGGTTTGAACTTTGACTTAACTGCTTTGGACTAGAGAGATGGGCTGTGTTGCTAACCTTGGTATCTAAAAGTGTTGCTAAGAGCTGAATATACTGCACAGAGTATACGATTAGAAAATGTCGACACAGCCAGTTTTTACATTAACCAGTTTAATCAAAAACCGAAATAGTAATATGTAATAGTTCTACTTACTGGTTTGAGTAAAACCATCCTATATAAGTTAATTAACCGTCGATTAACCCTTCTACTCAACATCATTTGTTATTTCATTTGTCCTTTTTTGTTACAGTATACTACAATGATTTTTAGTAAGTTAAAAAAATGCTTATGTTCATAATTGTCTACACATTGCTGTATTTATGAATAAACTGAAGTTTTCTGTCATGAACATTATATAAGCCATTTACTGAATTCGGTTAACTTTTTAAGGACATAGTGTTAATCTTCATATCCTCCCTCCCTTGATTCAGAGTTTATTGCACAAAATCTCATTCTCCCATTCTGGTCATATTATTTTTTAAATGATGTTTTAGAGTATAGAAAGATATTAAGAGAGAATCATTTTAGTCAGTGTATATGAAATAGGTCATTACGACAGATACACTTAATCACTATATTAAATTGACAACAGATCGAAAACGAAAAAATATACTTTAAAACAAAGAAATTAACAAGGAATTTTCAAATTAAGGAATTAATTCATCAAATATCGGATAGTGGTTGAAGGTATTTGATAAAGATCTAATGACTAATAATGATAATTTAGTTTTAATCTGTTAAAGGTTTACAGATAGCTGAACAATTGCATGCTTTGAACTTTACAAAAGATCAGTGATGTATCCTAGGGCGTACATATAACTACGAGACCTAAAAAGCCTATTTTAATCAGAATGAGTATGATAATCCGTTTCAATATATTATTTAAATGTTTGGAAATGAACAAAGACAAGCTTATTACTCAGAATAACTAAAATTACAGAATACCAATCATATTGTCATTAAATAAACTGTAGTGTCAGTTAATATTTTAAGCCCATATACCTTATTCTAGCTTTCGGACAGCTCATTCTATTCATTCTACTGGAGTCATATTTTGACCTTGTTATTTATTTGCTTATCAATCTTGACTGTTTTTATATGAGCGCGTAGGTGTGTGTACACTTCTTATCCCATTACCCATCACATGTCTGTATCTTACTTTTATGTAACTATAAATAATGATTAACGTTTGGTTAAATGGGTATTGGCTTACCAGCCATCTCCACTCTGCGTCGTTTCTCTTCTCCCTATTCTATTCACTTTATATACAAAATATATGTATTCAAAAGTCCATTCTCGTTATTTGACTTATCTAAATCCGTTATTTACTAACGCGATTAAAGTCGATGATTATATACGAGGATAGGCAATATATATATTCGGATAACAAGCACTCATACGATCTAATTGGAGTCAGATCAACGGGCCACTAAAAAAGTATCAATTTCAAATTCCACACATTAAATCTTCTGTTTAGGGTGCTATAAAAAGAGACAAAAAGTAATTTCTTTCTAATTATTATTATCTATCCAAGTTTAGATCAAAGAACAAACTAAAGATGATTTTTTTTTAAAACAGTCATATATCAACATCTCTATTATCAGTAGTCAATATCATTATTTTTAAAATACCACCCACGCAAACACTTTCATCAAAATATTAACCAATCATATTTTGTCATTTTTGAAAAAAAAAAGATATATAAACAAAATTAAACTATCACAAATAGTTTAAATTCAATTATCTAATCCTTATTATTCATTAAATAAAATGTACAATTAATTCAATGTTATACTTGTGATCATTTACTTGTAAAACAATAAGTTAAATAATTATTATTGATCTATTAAATAACCAACTAAAGTTCTTTCCTCTTTCGTTCTTTTCGTTTGTTTTTTCTTCTTTGTTTTAATTCATCATGTATAAATGTATCATAAAATTATTTTCAAATTTATCACATTTCATTCAATTTAAACAAATTTTGTTACAATTTATAAGTGTTACTTCTTTTGTTATGATGTTTTTATTTGGTGCAACATCATGTTGGTTATTATGGATTTATTTAATTATTAAATTTATTAAATTATTCTATATTATTGGTAATAAATTAATTATGAATGATAATCTAATACAAAATTCATATGAATTTATACATAATGAACAATTATATGATTTATTTCGACAATTTATTACATTATCTTTAATTATTATTGTATATTGGATATATTGGTATATTGATAAAGGTTCCGAAGAGAAAGGTAGTCATCCAAAATATTTTATCAGAAATTTAATAATATGGAAATATATAGCATGTTATTTTCCAATTAAACTTGTTCTTAGTGAATTATATCATAATAACAATAATAAAGACAATGAACATACATCTGAATTAACTACACTCAATGTTATTACCAATCAAAATTGTCATAATGATGAAGATCAAAATTCAAATGATAAAATGTATATTGAAACAATTAAAAATAAACAAGATTATTGTACAAATGAAAATAATTTAACATGTATAAAAGAATTATTTCCTCCAAGTAATAATTATCTAGTTGGTTATCATCCACATGGAATATTTGGTATTGGTGCTTTTATTAATTTCTTAACTGAAGCTAATCAATTCTCTGAAAAATTTCCAGGAATTACACCATGGTTAACAACATTGGAGATTAATTTCAAAGCACCATTTTATCGTGATTTTCTATTGTCTTTTAGTAAGTTTATACTGAATGATTGTTTATTGGTTTATTTCTTTTTTAACATGATAAAAATGAAATATCACAAGGTGATACAATTTATTTGACAAACCCATTGAAACGCAGCTCCAAAATAAAGCACTTTTGTAGTAAGTAGTATCAGAGATTATGGGTAATAAATGTTGTTTTTTGTTAAGAAAAAAGGAAGGTATAGTATTAAATTATTGAATTATAAGCAGAGATAGATGGTGGGCAGCGGTGTAATCCTGGACACGTGTTTCGTCCCATTTAGGACTCGCCAGCCACCAGCCATCTCTGATTATAATGCTTGTGACATAAGGCAATATTGAGGCGGTCAGCACAGGTTGAACATATGAAGTCCTAAACATCAATGGGAAGATTCAAATAGCCAATACAAGATGAGTTAAAATATTGAATATTATATTTATGACCGTTTTCAAATACTAGTATGAGAAAATCCTATTAAACTTCAGTCAATTAGCAGGATAAAGTATATCAAAACCACAGTGAATGGCCACAAACTAGGAAGTGTTAGTATATACTGATAAGCCTGTAACTGATTGATGAAAAATTCACTAACCAAATATCATAGGTACAAGTCAGTTTTGTAGACGTCAGTTTATTCCTGTTTCACCGCTAAATCTAATGTTGCTGAGTACAATTCGCGGATAAGTATAGTTGAAAAGTTTTATCCTAGAACGAAAAACTGAGTAGTATTGCCTAGTTTCTAATGGTTTACAAGCTGATTTCAGTCTTTCATAACAATTACCTTAAAATTGAAGAAATTCATGAGTGAAGTTAAAAAAAACATACTGGTGACGAAGACATTCCATGATCTTCTTGACTGTATATTTGAATATATCGTGGTTAGGAACAATTCAGATGAAGTCCAACATTATATTTGTCTAGATTAACGTAGAAACCTTAATTTACAGAGTTATCAAACAAATTAGATCATATAAATAAAACACTACTTTACTTGGTAAAAACGGTGAGAATAATTAATGTGGTTTACATCTAGAGTTAATGTAACCACTTTTATCGAAACGGTATTAACACTATTGATTACAATACTCAAAATACATAAAATGTTAGTTTTAAATATCTATCAAACTTCTTCAATGATTTCATATGATTTAATTATGCTAAAACATCTTTTATATCATTAAGAAATATCATTTTACATAGAATTAATTCTCTTGAATGATAATCTTTGTCCCTTAAAAAAAAACTTCAGACAATCAAAAAGTTGTTTAGATTTGAAAGTTTAGTTAGATAAACAAACTGATTTAATCAATACAACATAATAATAATAATAATAATAACAATAATAATAATAATAATAATAATAATAATAATAATAGTAATAATAAACAATAATAACTTCCATTTTGTTAATAGTTATCAACTACTTACAAAAGCTAATATCATTTTTGATATAAGTAGCTGAATTGTTTAATAAAGCATTTTGAATATGTTACTAAAACCTTTTTTGTACTAAATTCACATTGTATTTCTTAGTTCAAAGTCATTGGTTTTACAGCAAGGTAGATTATTATTATTATTATTATTAAACGAATTCGTAAGTGTGGAAGGAACATGACTAAATATTTAGATGACAAACGAATTCGTCATACTGTTTTAATCAGTGAAATTAAAGAGATTACAAGAAATATAACACTCAATATTGCATCTCCTAAGAATGTTGTTTACTTAATTCAAGCTATTGCATTAAAGTAATTCATGAGAAAACATCAACTGAATTCACATAATGATAATAAAAAGAGTATAATAATAGATGAGATATTGAAAATTGTAATACTGAAACCATATAACATGACTTTGATGTAACTGAATAACTTTGAGAATACGGGGATAAAATTTATGCGATATATTCTATGAGAATCTATGGTCAATTACAAGATACAAATACTGAACAATTATGAGTATAGCTATGAACTAGTTTAGTCACAAATTTAAAATAGGGACTATATAAGTATAACAAGTAGTGAAGACTATGAAGTTAAGTCAATTTTGTTATCTTGCATTACATTCGACAGCACACAATAGTAGTTCCTAGTCGATAAGAATTTAGTAGACATCTTTATTATTCCGCATCATGATTTTGTCTTATTTACAGATATTAGGTTAAGTCTAAGGTCTTATTCATTAAGCTCTACCTCACATACTTTACTCATATTGATATCAGTAAGAGATCCACCCCTGACTACAGTTTACTGAGAAGTCACTGAAGATAATACAACAGAATTTTTACCATTAAGCTTTTTTTACTGCCGTTACATATCACGTAATGGTTTAGCTGCAGCCAACAAGGAATCATCAAAATAATGTGGATAGATATCTGGCAAGAATTAATTTATATTACAGTTGAAAAGTATTTTATTACAATAGCCTCATAAGAAGCTGTATTCTACTGTACTGCATTTTTATTAACTGGTATCTATCTTGTTCACTTTAGTTTCAATTCATTGTTGTTGTGTTTTTTTAATTTATTTTCGCTTTATATACTAACGTGAAATGTAATAAATGGAGTTAATTCATAGTTTTATAAAATTTTATGTTAATGTATTTGTTTATCAACTATTTGTAGTGTTAGGTATTTCAATCTTCAATTAATATAATCTAATGTAATTAAAATCGATAATGATATAATGACCTATATATCTGGTGAAATTAAATAATGAACTTACATTGTCTACCAATTAATGAATATATAGATTTCATATACAATAACCTGATGTCAAAAATGGTTTACATACATATGAGAAATATAGAATAGAATTATAAATGTTTATGTTATTTTTAAAAACAAAGTCTAAAACTAACAAAATTTTGTTAATATAGAGACTGAATTTGGTTAAATAACCATTGAAAACTAGACGGCTATTTCATCCTAGATTAAAACTCCTTTGTAGTGTATCTATCGCTTTACATAGGATTGATTTCATAGTTCTTAAATCTAACAGTGTCTATAATATCTTCAGGTTATTAAATTCAAATTCAATGTTACGCATAGCGTACTTGAATTACTCTTCAATATATTAATAACATTAATGTTTCATATTTTTAATGGTTGAAACCATGAGTTACGAAATCTATTATGTTCTTGCTAAACATTTATCACTAGAATTATGTAAGAATTCCATCGGAAATTAGGGGCATGAAATCTGTTATATTTATTTAATATTTCACCTTGCATTATCCCCCATTACTAACTATCTACAGAGCTTAATGACATCAAACAAGATGCCAAAATTATCAGTAATACTAAAACAAAACAAAAATTTTAAAATCATTATTTCAGTATGTAGTTCACATAAATCTTTTATACATCAAAGTGTAATTATACTAAACTTTAAAAACTATTTACACATTCATAGAAATAAGGTCGTTCTTAAGAAAAAAATTCTGTTCATATGTATCTGTACATCAATTACCATAAGTAATTTAAATGCTATATAATGACATATATATCTCTAAAGACAATCCTCCCTCTATGAACAAATTCATTAGATAAGTGTAGTAATGGAGATTACTTGATTAATTAAGTTTTAATGGTTCAAGTACCTTCAGGATTGAATATTTTTAGAAGTGATCAAGTATACTATTAATAGAAAATCAATAAACTATAGGTAGTTTTATCGCTTATACCACGTTACTTGTTTTGATGATTAGTTTACATTAAATTAAAGGTGAGAATGTCATTAAAATAATCCTTCATATAGTAATTTGTTAATTGTAAACGATAGATTATGACTAATAATAATAATAATAATAATAATAATAATAATAATAATAATAATAATAATGATAATAATAATAATAATAATAATAAATGTTTCAAAGTAAAATCATGAACTATAAAGAGGTCATAACACTAGATTACGTAATGCAAATAATAACACTAGAATTTAATAAATTAGTAACGAATTATAACGTGAGTGTAGTAAGGTGATTAAAATGTTTTTGTTACAACAACTAAGGGTCATAGAAGTGTAAAAAATGAATAAACAAAGTGATATCATGAGCAATTCTGAATAAAATAATGAGAATATGAGACATAAGTAAAGGGAGAACTGTAGTAATAAGAATAATTAAGGTTAAGGTAACGATAACGATAGGATGTACTTCTTTTGTACGCATAATTCTGGCTTGAGCTCATGGATGATAAGAGCTTCGGATATTTTTAGAAGTTGGATACGAAGAAATCCATGTGCATCTACCAGTTCACCTGCTTTTGTGGAGCAAGGTACATTGGCCGTAGCCAGCGCTCACTTTCGTTGCGTATGCAGGAACATGTCCGAGTGTGATTGTACAAGGGTGAGAGGAAAGCGGTTAGGAGTTCCATACTTGAACATCTAATCGACTGTAATCATTCTACTGATCGACAGTCTGATCTTAAGGTTGTATAAACAATTCATCCAAATCTACCTAGATTTCTTCGTATACAACTCTTAAAAAAGACGAAGCTCTTACCATCCACGAGCTCAAGCCTGAACTATGCGTACAAAAGAAGTACATCCTATCGTTATCGTTACCTTAACCTTAATTATTCTTATTACTACAGTTCTCCCTTTACTTATGTCTCATATTCTCATTATTTTATTCAGAATTGCTCATGATATCACTTTGTTTATTCATTTTTTTACACTTTTATGACCCTTAGTTGTTGTAACAAAAACATTTTAATCACCTTACTACACTCACGTTATAATTCGTTACTAACATATTAAGTCTAGTATATATACATATATATGAAGATTTTTTATTAAAGTACTAGTTCCGTGAGGAAATGTGAGCAAGGAACAACCAAGATAATGTGATAGGAAGATTATAATACTGGATTACGTAATACAAATATATATATATATATATATATATATATATATATATATATATCATCTGTCAATATAAAAGGGTTATTATTAATCTGAAACAATACATAAACAAATGTTAATCAACAAAATGAAATGACGAAATACGACAGTTCAAAGTTTATCTATCCAATGAAATTTAGTAGTCCATAAACTCTCAGTATTCAAAAACTATAGAGTAAATTCATTTATAACTGACAGCATTTCTATGATGACCATCTTCAGTTTTTAAAAAATTTACCCAAAATGTATGTTATTTATTCGAATAATCTATACATCTGGCTTGTACCAATATGTTCATTGCATAATCTGTAACTTCAATAGTCACATACTAATCATATAGAGTCCATAAAAATGAAATGAAACTAGCCGTGATAAATTAAATGATTGCATACTTCTTCCACATTTCGATTTATTTTGACAATGTTAATGTAGGACGTGATTTGGAGAACATTAGAACTTAAGTACATTATTTTCGTTTAAAGTAAGTAATCTAGGCGATACATGATTCAGCCAAGTTATAATCGTCAATAAACTGTGAGTGAAGTTATAAGCTCATTATAAAAAAATATAACACTAACTATCGCATAAACGTGAAGTTCTGTATTCAAACTTAAAAGGAATTGTAAAGTATAAAATGATTGTTAAGTAGTTAGTTTAAATCATCAGGTAACAGAACAAACATGCAATATTTATGTTTATCATTGGTTACAATCGACATATCAAAGGAATCAAGAATGGTGACTAGATTCAGACAAAAGGCTGATTAATAGGATCCATATACTTGTTACTACGTTTGTTCGGCTCTTATGTTATCAGATTAAGCATTCAGTTGAATTTTGCCAAAATAAACTGTTCGATGTGCTTTAACCAACAATATATAAAACGTATTTATATCACAGTATTCGATATCAAGTGACAGAACAGTATCGGATAGAACATATGGATACATTTATCTTATAACCTTGATCCAAAAGATCACATTTGGTAAATAAACATTAGAGTTATTATTGATTATTTATACTACGAATAATATTTCTCTAAATCTACAAATTATAAAGATTTTCTTAAACGTTATTAACAATAATACAATATTAGAATGGAAATAATAATCATTGTATGATTCAATAAAAAAGCATTATTGTTTTAGAAGATGCGCACACTTAATATGCATATACCGATGTTACCCTAAAACTCAAACTAAAGTGATTAATGAAAATTTCAAAGTATCAGTGAAGAGTAGATGATAATTGATTATAAATTACTTAAATATTTATGCTTTGTGGATACAGCAGTCAGTTAAATAACAAGATCAAGGTCGACAGGACAATCTGGAAGTCATTTGTTGAGAAATATGAACACTTCACTTCTACCTGAAATTTATGCTGCTTTTGTTCAGAATAATGAAAGCTCCACCACACCACCCAGCCCAAGGAATAAAACTCCTCCTAAAAGATAACTATCCTTCACCCCATCTATGCAGATTGTTAGAACTTTCTCATATTTTAGCAGTTTTACCATCAATCTATGTGACAGATACTTACTAAAGAATATTTTTTATGCCGAAGTTAACTTGATATCTTTTTCTCATTGAGTATGTTTCGAAAACTGCATTCTTACAAAATCAATTTCAGCTGTCTAGGCGTCCTCATCATATTTATAGCAAACTATTACATTTACTTCCATGTTTTGAAACTTCATCCTTAAACTTTACTTAATTGAAAAAGATAATCAAACCAAACTTTTACGCTACTTAAATTTCAGTTGTTGACATAACCAATATATTTTTGTCTGTTTTCTCAATAATTTTTATGAAAACGTACTCTCAAACTTCAACGAAAGTTTATGTATAGAGCTTTACTGTCATGAAAACATCAGTGCAATATTCATACATAGAACGCGCTTTGAGAATCATGCGAAAGCATTCGTTAAACTTAGATATCACTTACAATAAGTAATTTTCCTGATTGAAAATATAAAAACCCAGTAACTTTTTTCATAATTAGGATACTACCTTCAATTATTAAGTAGTAAAACTTAATCACCGTAATTTGGCCGAAGGAATTGGTCATTACTGTGAGATGAATGTAGATTAAATGTCCTTCGTTACCTTTATTTATTCAATAATTGAACCATAGGAATCATTTATTTTTTGTTCTACGGTTGAGAGTTATATCGGATAAAGTTAAATGGTTTATTTATCTCTTTCATTTCCCTAGTTGCCAAGACTTCAAAGTGGACTTTTATTTTGTACTGAATTTCCCCATGATGGATGTTATTAAGTTTAATAAACCAATATACTGACTGATTTATTTTTTAATTATTCAGATCTTGTAGCAGCAACATACAAAGGACTTTCATATCTCCTTGATTCTCAACAATGTGGAAATACAGGAAATTTCGTTGTCGTCGTTTTGGGTGGTGCTCCTGAAGCATTAGATTCACGTCCTGGGAAATATGTCTTCCACACTAACCGACGATATGGCTTTTTCAAGTTAGCGTTAATGACTGGGTAAGCATGATATCGAATCATTTTCTTAAATTTACAAATTGACGATAGTGAACGTAATTCAAATATGTTACTTGAGGATCTAGAAAGATATGGGTTATAACATAATTGTAGTATTTACGAAAGCTTTAAAATTGGGCAAATGAAAATCAGTCAATCCATTAGTATTTTCTGATTCAGGTGAAATAACAGTTCAATGAATAAGGACAGTATAGTTCCACTAGAAAAAAAAACAACTTATACCTCTTACAGCCATCTAACATCAAAATGTATCGAAAGAGTCACTTAGTTTAGTGTAACTTGATTGACGGAATCCACTTACTACAAGGAATAAGACTTGATATCAGCGTTCAGTGACCGAGTAATAAGTCAAAAGGGAAATGATTTTCGAAACATTTTCAATTTGACTTTGATACAAAACAGCCACTAATTTAACTAGGACTAATGTAACGGAAGCAAAAGAGATGGAAAAGGCAACGGCTGTAGGTAACACTAGTTTCTCAGACTAACAAAAAAACTGGAATTAAGAAGTCAAGTGTAAATGAAACAGTCTCAGAATAAGACGGCAACCTTATCTGCTCTCAGCCCAGATGCTTAGAACGATGGGCGGAACACTTTAAGCAGCTCAGCTAGCCTTCAGCTACTATACAACTACTCACTATTCCCAAACAACCTGAACGGAACATTGAAGTAGATCCCCCGACTTTAGCTGCCAACTTACGTCGCCTATGGCGAGGGCTAGATATCCGTCTATAAATTAAGGGATGAGTATACTGGACGGCAATTTGTTTCTGATCTAGTTTATGGTTGCGAAACGTGGCTATTAAGAGTAGAAGATATTCATAAGTTGCTAGTATTTGATCACAGATATCTTAAAAATATTGCCAGCACCTGCTGGGATCACCTGGTAAGTAATAGTGAGGTTAGACGCAGGGTATTAGGGAATGATGGTAAATCAGTTGATGAGGTTGTAAATCTTCATCGACTAAGATGAATGGGCCACGTATTAAGTATGCCTGAACACCGTTTACCACGACGCGCAATGCTGACTAGTGTTGGGGACAGTTGAAAGTTAGGGGCGGCCAAATCAAAACAAGGCATCAGTCCTTGAAGTCATTAACTTCTAATCTGAGCTGTGTTGGTAGATGCAAACTACTTAGTTGGGGTCCTCGTGACTATCGTAACCAATGGTTGGAAACTCTTGGTGACATGGCTCAGAATCGATCACAATGGCGTCGGTGTGCACTCTCTTCGTCCTCCCTTAACCCATGAGATAAGAATCGCTTTATAAATTTCTTTGTACCTGCGTTATAACCTTATATGCATTCTTTTATACATTACTACCATTGAGGTGACTACTTTTATGAATTTTGTGTTCAGCTTATTGTGCTAATGATGTATGGCGACTTGGACCGATGCATATATGTGCCTGTTCCTACGTTGTAGCTGAGTGACTGACTAAGGATTAACGTAAAAGGATATTGAAGACAATTAAAGTTCAATTAATCGAAAGACCTGCTAATTATTTTCCTATTCTGAAAGCCCCAAACTGTTTGTTAGTTAATTAAATGTCTTACTCTTATGGTTTCGTTTAGGTCGCACTTAGTACCGTGTGTATCTTTTGGTGAACCGAATATGTTTAAACAAGTGTACAATCCTGAAGGGAGCTGCATAAGATACTTCCAAAATCAATTTACGAAAATGGCAACATTCTCACCTCCTTTCTTTTATGCTCGACTTTTTCTGCCTTATCGGACAGATGTAAACACAGTCAGTAAGTTAAACAAATATATCATTTAAAATGTTTCCGACTTTGTGAAACAATATAATACAGTGGTCACAATAAAGTTTACTTAATATCATTAGTAATCTTTTCCAATTATCGCAGACAAATCGAACAACCAGACAGCCTAATGAGGATAATCTCAATACAGCGGAAATTACACCAACAGATGTGCCCAATGATTTAAATAGACGTCCTAAAATAGGACTGGTGCAAATGCTAACACAACCCGTTGTCCAGTCTTAAAATACTGTCGTTTCAAAGTCGCTGAGATCTGATTAAGGACTGGAAACAAGAGCCAGCGATACTTATCACAATTCACATGTCTTTTTCACTTTAAACCACGAGCTTCCAAAATGATTGGTTGGCTATCTTGCAATTTAATTTGAGTCTCGAGATTACACCCAGAATTCTCATATATTTCCAATAATACGAAACTAGAAGGCAAACTACTGTCTAGCTGGTATAGTGGCTACTGTGTTGTTGTGGAAAGCCAAGTATCGAAAACGCACTTAATTATTATCTGTACAGTCAGATTTTGCCAATGTACCTTAATCGTTAACAAGAAAACCATGTAAAGTACACTCACTGGAATGTAGTAAAACTGGAATTCCGTCAGCAATCTGATAGATTGTAAAACTACTAGTCTTCAATAGAACACCAGATTAGTAACCCAGAAGATGTTAAAATCCACTCATAGTACAAATAAAATCTATAAACTAAGGCAATCAAAATTATTGTTTAGGTTCTTGTCTTTTAACTACAAAAATAGTAATTCCGATTTTTTAATGTTTTTTCTACCAAAATAAAAAAGTTGGACGGCCAATACCGTGTGAAAAAAACCCAAATCCAACAAGAGAACAAGTATCAGTGCTGAAAGAATTATACCTAGAAGAACTTCGAAATCTTTACAATAAATATAAACCAATCTATGATCCAGATGGAGATCTAATGTTTGTTTGAAGCTGAGATAATCATATTTTCGCAGTTTATTCTATTAGCCAAAAGACAATAAGCATTACTCTCTAGGACTTTATGATTCGGATTATTTTATTTATGACAATTATTTTTCAGTTTCAAGATGTAAATTCATTTGGAAACATTTTCGGCTTTTCATTTCTTCTATGATCTAATGAGGAACAACAACACTCGATATATTTTAATACTGATCGAAAGTACAAGACTAAAGAAATACGACGGCTTAATCAAATCAATCGGTATAGTGTATCGTAGTCTATGTTAAGTCTTCGCAACCTATTTAAGTCATTGTCTAAAATGATAGACTATGTAGGTCTGAGGTTCGAGAGACAAGTCTAGATTACTCTTAAATTATAGGAACAATAAGGGTGTATATCAAGTTTGTGTTTACTTACTTAAGTAAGAAGGAACGAAATGCTTCCTTTATTTTGGCAGAATACTGAAAAGAAATTTATTACCGTTCACAATATTGAGAAAGAAACTTTAATGATTCAATACAGGTCAGTGCTACTAAGCATTGACATGGTAAAGTATACATGGAAATTTAGCTGATATGAACAAAATAAGGCATGGAATTAGAGTGCATCATACAGAGTTAGTACACCTATTAATGTCTAAGAAACGCTATAACGAGAATTCAATATAGAATATTTACGCTATTCACTTCACAGTCGACCAACAATGAACATATGAAATAAAGATAAATTGTGTAGTTCCGTTGCCTGTGCATTTAACAGCTCAACGGCTTCGTGGGTAGTTGTATTGTACGGACAATTAGGCAAGTTCACTGTACCTCGAATACCACCCCTTTAAAGTTAAGTGAGGAACAGCCATCCAGTACCAAACAGATACGACTCCCACTTTTAATTTCCATAATTACACAATCACTAATGAATTTGTATTTATACCCATCTTACAATTACTCCACTACTATTTCTATAGATAAAATATTGTGTTAATGGATTCATCGTTTCATTGGTACTTATTTTATAATGTATGGATAAAGCCTATATGTAGAACCATGGTGGGGAATTAAAACAATTTCTTGTCAAATCGGCACTCATAATGTCTGGATTGTAATACTAACTTTACTGAAATATAGACTTACGCACTGAAAAATAGTTTGACGACACTAAGATAGGAATACGAACAATGTACAACATTAGACCTGTATGAAAATGACAATCTAAGTAATAAGTATTAAGAAAAAAAATGGAATGAACCTTGATACGTGAACAAACAGTACAAAATTAAGCCGTAATGATTTAGATTGTTAGAAATATCTATGTTAAACAAGTCAAACCCTTTAATTATGGGATTGTTGAGATATGTAGTACTAGACTGACTAGAAGAACCCTTATTTTGAAACATATTTTAACGAATTACTTGTTTGGTTGAATGAAAATGAGGCTTTTTATTAATTTGTGGATGAAGAGAAAAGATGAGGCGCTCTTTTTAAGAAATACTCGTGTTACCGTGACCGATTATTTAGAAACGAACTCATAAAACTATCAATGAAATAAATGGCAAAGTTTTTGACCAAGATCACATGAGGAATAATTATACAGATTGAAACAAATATTAACATACACCATTTTGTTTATTATGTTATACAAGTTATTTAGATCTTTATATCGTTTAAATTTTTTGAGATTTAGGAGCTCCGGATGAACTTGTTTTTTGTACAGCTTGTGTTAACATTAATTTGCCTATTGTTTGACCTGCCATCTGAGCAAGACTGTTGCAGTAGAAATCAAGCTGAGCTGAAACCAACGCAGTGTCCAAACGGATTGGAGCCAACTCCCGATTACGTGTTTCAGTTGCGGTCTTGTGCAAAACAAAGAGGAAATTTTTAAAACAACTAGTCCGTTTGGTAAATTTCGATAATGTAATAAGAAGACGAAGATTATCAGAACTATGTGATATATTAGCGCAATACATTTCGAACAATCTGATCATACGTATACTTGTTAAGAGCATTTATACATAAAAATGAAAGGTCAACTAGACTGGAAATGGGGTAAGAGGAGATAAGGATAATGATAAGAGTAATAATAATAATGCGAACACAATTTGAAACCTAATCACTCTGGATAATAAGCCAATATTACCAGGGTAGGCTTAAGGTGAGAACAAACTGTTTCTGAATACAAAAAAAGGGTTTGAATTTTCGTATGGCTATGGCTTCTATAAGACTTACTATACGCCCTTTAACACTTGTATAACACCACAAAAGCCGTGTTAAGATCAATCTTATAGCCTGTTTCGATTATATGTTTAGCAATAGAAGATGATGGATGTTTATCCTCTGCTCTTATTGGGTCACTTGATTCTGTTTGTTACTGCAACCAATTTGGTACATGTTCACGCACCCCAATTTTGAGATCACGATTGCTCCTCCCTATGTATGTGTGACCCGCACACATTTAAAGTGGTAAACACTGTGGGATAACACAATCGCTTTCGTATCTTTCAGGTTTTGGATGAAGCATGAGCCTTGTTCTTTCTTTGATAATGAACTTTGCTGCGCAATACGCTTTGTTGATGACTGATTTAAGCCTTTGTTTCAATAAAAGGCTATTTGAAGCATCCCTGAATGGTAAGGTGATGTAGACATGCTTTTTTTCTACCAAGGCTACAGTAGGTCTCACTGTACCATGGACTTTCTATCTACTTATGAATTTCAGAGGATAGCCATTTTCCATTGTTTTATTTAAGAACTTAACATCATCATCAATGACGTCATTTGTACAAATATGATCAAGCCTGTTGAATAGGCACCTTATTAAACCACGCTTTTTATCGCACAGGGCAATAACAACTAAGGTATTGACCTGTCCACGATGGTTTTCTAAAAATAGGTCGTTTGACTGAGCCATCTTCTCGTCTGCTCACATGTATATCTAGAAAAGGGAGCTGATCGTTCTTCTCCTCTTCACATGAGATTGACATGGTTTTGGAGTGTTAAATTTATTCAATAAGCAGTAAATATCCTTATTTCTTTCACAAAAAAACTAAGACATCGTCCACATATCTCTTATAAAGTGACATGTTTCCGATTAAGTCATCAGCCAGATTGTTCGAAATGTATTGCGTTAATATATCGCATAGTTCTGATAATCTTCGTCTTCTTGTTACATTATCGAAAAGAGAAGATTATCAAAACAGACATAAACAAGCAGTATTATACAAATAAAGTCCAAACAATATAGGAACGAAAAATTGTGACTGAACAATACATAAGTGAACAATAATCATCTACAATAAGAGGATGACTCCAAATAATGTTCACAAATCGGTGGCATCAGATGTACTTAATGGAACATTAAATTGATAACTTTGATCATTAAAATCGAATACAGACAAGATGTATTAGCATATCTCAATAATGCTGGCCTTAGCATATTGGTTTAAATTACTGAACAGTATGGATGATTTTCACATGAAGATGAACATCATTATCAGTAATAAGGCAGGCTTAACGTTGGAAATTGTAATGCATTCAGAGCTTGCCTTGTTTAGTTCCAAACATCAACCATAGCAAAAATTATATCACTAAAAGTACTGGTGTGCAACTAAGTAACGATTTATCGTGAGCGACCAGCCATTCAACAGGTAAAACAATTGCCAAAAATTAGCCACTTAGGATCAAGAAATTCGCTTTCCCTTATAGTATTTCACGACCATATAATTTGATGAAGGTACTAAATAAGTAACAAATTTTATTGATTTACCTTGCCAGCTACCGTAGTTTGAGATTTTGATAGACTACGTTGATATGAATACTGGTAGTCATGTACTGTTTCTAAACCCGCAAGAAGAGAACGTAGTTGTTGTTCCAAACTAGAGGCCATGCTTAAATTGAGAGTAGAATAACGACCAGGATGGTCTTTTGGAAGCGGTGGGGCCAGATCTAGCATTGATGAATTTGTAGAAAGCTCTGATCGCGACAGTTCTTGATTATCAACGATCTCAGTCAAAAGGATGTTTACGAGATGTGAATTATGAATCACAACCGGTATCTCTTCTAGAACACGAGTGAAACTGCTGCGACCTACACTGCTCGCCGCTTCCTAGAAGTGGAAATTTTCAAATATGAGAAAATGATACATTGGGTATGTTTGCTTATTATTTACACCAAAGTGGATTTTTCTTGTTGGACAAAAGATAAGTGCTATTACTATTGAAAAAGTTGGAAAAAAGCTTGCATATATAAGTAGACGGACGACTGTCATCACAAACGATATTGATAATCACCCCCTAACTTAGTAGATTGCAAATGAGCCATGTGCTGCCAGCTTTACTCATGTCGAACCTATATGTATGATCATTTTTATGATCTATAGTCTAGATGTTTGCACCAACCACACCACAGTTGATATTTGACAATCCGACAAAATGTTTCACACATGAGTCGCTATTAAATAAAAAATTAATAAAAGAAACTTTTTTATCGGGAACTGACTCAGAAAACATAATTATTCATAGTGTAATGACTGTTAACATTGCATAAATAACAATTAACGCGTATCTTTCAATTTTCACCAATTAGTATGTGTTTTGCGTACAAAACCTAAAGCTGTTAGTTAACACAATACAAATTACAAAGCGGTTATGATTTACTAATAACTTGCATTGCGTAGCACAGAACACATGTAACATATATAAAACCTAACGAAAGACTACCTTGATTATTATATGCCTCACTAGAACCTAAAAAATTTAGCTTAGAGAATATAAGCCGACACTAAGGCTTAATATTCCCTTGGAATACAAGAACGATTAGATATTTTCCGACAAACTTTTCCCTATATTATCTCCCAAGAAATTAACCAAGCGAACGAATTGTACTGTAAAAGAACGATGACTATGCAGAAGCTTTAAAAAAAACATAAAAACAAAGTGATACATAAACTTACACATTCCCATGGGACCTCGGGACCCTATAATTAAAACGAAATAAACGTTATCAGAGCATTAACCAAGAGATAAAATGCTTCTCAGTTCTCAACATTCCCAACGTTATACTAAAGGTACGTCTAGAGTAGTAGTGCTAACAGCTGTTACCTGTTTAGGTCACCGTGAATGCATCGCTCTGAATAATCAAGTTGAGTGAGACGTTCCGAACGAAACAAAATGTACTTTACGACTAACTGCTTACCACCTAAGTGACAAAATACTGTGATACATTATATCTTTCGGACTTTAATCTAAGATGGCTAGTGAAAATTCTGGAACCTATAGACACATAAAACCAAAACCGTCTCCACCTATTGCCTTAATTATGTTTCGTTTCTCGACTGCTGATTTTTATAGCATACATCAGAGTTATAAGGATGACCACTTGCTAAAACAGGCAGCTTTATATCGATAACTAACAACCACTAACCAAACATTACTATCGAAGTAAAAGGAATTGAAGATAAGTTATCGGATTATTTCAAGGCGTCAACGTGGAATTCATTTTTGCATTTTGGTCTGCGTCAATTCACGATGAAAACATTAACGATTCATGCATTGTTTTTTTTATTAAGGTTAAGACTGTTCACTGTTTGTAGCTCTATCATTTCCTTACAATAAGACGTTCCATAATCAAATGCTGTCTAATTGTAGGCTGAAAGATAATTTATCTTTCGTTGGTTTTAGGTAATTAATGGATTAGTCCACTTATATATACCTAGGACCAGCGTATATAAGTGAATAAAGCAAGAAGGACCATTAGTGAAATACAAATGTTTACCATAAAGCTTGGACCAATTTGTAAGGAGCTAGTCTTATAATGTGATTAAGAGTTTAGTTAAACTACGCAAGTTCCACAGACAATAATTGTCAGACGAACCAAACACGTAAAGACCATGAAGTGACGTGAAAATACGGACAAACCTTGTGGCCCATCAGACGAAAACGATCTTCCGCTTCGGATCTTGCAGCAAGAACATCGTCAGACAGACGATACGCTTTCAGACCAATTTGACCTCTGCTAGTTCTTGTTGGGTCATAGGTGAGCAACACAGATTCAGGGAGATTAATTTGGCGTTGATAAATGTTTTCAATGTTAGCACGGTTAATAGAGACACCTCCAGGACCAGCTTGATAAAATCCTACATTGAGGTAATCTGTTTGTAGCTATAAGTGTATTGTAAGATCTTCCAGAACTTACTTGTCTCAAATTACGTATCATATTGGCTTCATAAGTGACCAGAGCCTCGTTGGCATTTGGATCATCTTCTTGAGTTTTAGGTAATGGGAAGCAATTAGTGATTTCAAGTTGGCTGCCTTGTGCAAGCCCTAACAATACACCATTGACAAAGTTTTGGCTAGATACAGATTCTTCTTCGTAGTGCTTGATCATTTTTAAGAACACCTTTCCTTCGACCTGAACTCTATCAATAGGTTTAGAAATTTTTGACTGAAAATCCATGTTCCAGAGTACAGACAGCGATGACACCAAGGCGTAACGTTCCAAACAGAAAAGCCGCTCAATAGTCTGAACGGTATAACAACATGTTCAGGGAGTTCAAATGGTTGTGTATGGCAGAGATATTTTCGCTTAAATAAGTACCATAAAATCACTACTAGCTCTAGGTAGAGACCTAAATGTACTTTACTATATGATGGAGTAATATTTTCTTCAAATGGTTCAAATGGTTGTGAACGGAATAGAAGAAGCTTTCGCTTGACAGGCTTCCGTGCCTAGTAGCAGGGGATCACGAATACCTCCAGGCAGGAACCTAGGTATGTTAATGATAAAAGAGGAAAAAGAAATTGGTAAACCATAGCATGACACTATCCTTAGACCTTAAGAATAGATCAAGTTTCTTCTTAAATGACTCCTGGAAGTCCCTTGGACTAGCTCGGCTACAGATTTCTGGGTGTCACCCCTGAGATTGGTATTGGGACTTAGCTTAAGTAGGTGTTTAAAAGGATGTCCAGAAATGTTAAGGATACTGTAAGCCATCAGAAGGTTACCTCTAAGACGCCTACACTCTAATAGGTAAAGGTTAAGTGATTGGAGGCGCTCTTCATAAGGCTTAAATTTGAGTCCTTGGAATGATTTCATGGCTCGCCGTTGGATACGCTCCAGAGTGTCCTTGTCCTTTTGGAGTGAGGGAGGAAGTACTGTTTCCGTACTCTAAATGGGGACGAATGAAACTATTGGAGATTATATGGAAAGTTCTTCCGTCGTACTGTCCAAAAATGAGCTTCAATGTTACCAGTGAAAGGTTTGCTTGGAAGACATTTTTGTCACAGTTAGCGTAGGACTTTAAGCCGTAGGGCACCAGGCCTCCTAAATCTTTTTCGACTTGGGATACTACTAGAGAGGAGTTTCTTAAGTTGTAACTGTAGTCTACACCATGTCGCAGATGGACTATTTTACACTTTGAAGTGTTAAAGGTAAGTCCGTTATCGTCTGCCCAACTTTGAAGTCGAGTCAGATCCTCCTGAAGTGCCTGTATATCGTCTTGGTTGCTTCACGTCATCGGCAAAAAGTAACGAGTCTGACAGTGCCTATTGAGGAGGATCATTTATGTAAATCAAGAAAAGAAGAGGTCTTAGTACTGAGCCCTGGGGGACCCCACTAGGACATCCCATAGCCTGAGATAATATGAAGTCAACTCTGACTTTAAAATGTCAATTTTTCAGATATGAAGTGAGCCAATCAGTTAAAGATGGTCTGATACCCAATCGTTTGAGCTTATTCATAAGACATATATGGTTAACCGTATCAAAAGCTTTTGAGAAATCAAGGTAAATGATATCAGCCTTCCTCTTGAGATCAAGGATGCTTGTCCACCGCAGTCAGCAGGCAGGTTATACAACAGTAACCCTTCCTGAAACAATGCTGTTGGGGTGAGAAGAAATTTAAGGACAGTAAACAGTCATGTATACCACCGCATATCAGCTAGGGTGTGTCAGTTAAAACTAATGATGTCAACATCAATGTCGAAGACTTACAGACATATTTGTTTCGGGGATTGATTTACCGCTATAGAACTCTCGGATGGCTCATATTGACGCCAAACCACCATGAGTGATATACATACTGATCAACGAATTGCTACTGTAAAGACTATCAAGCTCGCGAAGGAACAAGAAAGGAATATAACAGAGAAAGTGGGTGAGTGGTTTGATACACTTTCAAAACTCTACGCTGATATGAGGAAGGCTGTTAAGGCTTGAGCTGTTCGATATGCAAAGCTCTTCGAGGTAACATATGACGTTGACGAATGGCTAAATATGAAGTCCAGGAAATAAAATAGGAAAATCAAAAAACTTGGCATTGAATCGATGTGCAAACAAGAGCTTGTTTAAGAAGAAAAATCCGAGGACTCATCAAATTGTACCTCTCAAAGAGGTCAATCTTCTTACAAATTTTGGCGAGTCCTCTGATAAGGTCTGAACTAGATCTAGGTCACACTAAGTGCTGATATGCGAATTCAATCAGGAAACAGTAGCCGGTGTTAGCTAAAGAATAAGACGGGAAGCGGTTCAAGAACGTATGGAGCCAAGTTGCCCTTCAAAGGTAAATTCTACTTCCACCATGATCCTCTAACCATGAGTGTGTGGTAATATTAGTTTCTAACCACACGGTCTTTGAAGTTGAACACAATGCTTTCAACATGCAACACTAAGGGAAGTTCAGCTATGGTGAAGGTGAGAATATTCAATCGGGTGTCATGGCTCAATCTCGCAGACGTAGTCATTGAGTATAACTTGTCTTTATTCACATTAAGTATATTATTCTGTCTTTAGCCCAAGTATGTTCCTAGGAAATAATAGACTTATTTCGATTATTCTTAAAATACGGCAAGTCAGAATAGATACTGATCCCATAGATTAGGTAGTCACATCATGACAAATATATAATATTAGAATTAGGTCTATTATGAAAGCAGTACTAATAACGAACTAGACCACAATTCTGTGGATATAGATGAAACTCAATTTCCGTAACCTGTATTTGGACAGTCGAAGTGACTTTTCATTCATCATTAACAAAATAAGGACGTACCCATGAACTTACAGTCTAATTGCCAGAATGAATCTCAAATGATGAGAGAACAGGAAAAAAGAAGCTACGGCGGACGATTTATGAATGGCCTTTACTTGTGAGCCCCCTCTCAACACAGGTTTACCTTCACAAACAGTGCAGCTGTACCGAATTCAAGCCAAATAATATTGAACTTTTTTAACTTGGGAAAATCAGCAGTACAATTTACGATACATGTTATTTAACCCTTCGCTACAATATCTAAGATGTGAACCAACTACCATGTGTTACCTGTGGACTGGAAGAATGTGATTGTCACTTCGAACCATAACATAGAATCAAAATGATATCTAATGACCCATGAACCCGTCTTCCTCATCAGTATCACAGTTGGGGCACCGAAAGTCTATTGTAACCTTTATGGATACAAACAGTTAGCTAACCAGTGAATAGAACGTTTCTGACTAATAAAAAATATATCCATTTCGAAGTACCCCTGGAAGGTTATAGGAACCGTTTGAGTCTGTAACGAATTTCAAATCTTCATAAGTAGTAGACATATCTAGAGTCCAGTTTAGTTTAATGTACCCCTTATTTCAGGGTATTCACCAGAAAATACCCAATAGTGTTTAACGTTCTGTATCAAGTAGTTGCCTCTGAATCCCTTATATCCTAAAAGCCAGCGATCCAGTAACTCTAAGTATCACACATAAGGTTTGAATTCCAGTCCACAAATTGCATTAATGACCAGACTCTGTATATCATTTAGAGTATTCCCACCATTTAGAAGTAAGATTAAAATTATTGCATCTTCGGTGAGACTATAATTTATGGACGATCTCTGAGAGACGCTAAAGTAACCTTGGGAATGTCCACCCACTTCCAGTGCTAAATGATGTTTATAAAGCACTTTGGAGAGTAAAATTATGATTTACACTTTATGGTTCGGGTTAGGAATTATATTTATGGTTTTCATCACGAAACGAAATCAGATAAATTGTTAGTAGGCTATTAGGACAATTGAGTGAATGAATTTCGTGCAAAAATCCGAGATCTGTCGTCCTAAATCTGATTGTTTAGTTCATAAATTGTAGCCGCCTCTTCAAAGCCTAAGGAGGTTCAAAAGAATCTGTTAAAAATACAATGTAGTTTTCAGCCGAGCCGGTCAAACGTGAGTTGAAAATTTGCTTGTGGAAGTCTCACTCTAAAGGCACTCTCGCCATAATCAGCTTGAGCTTGTTTTTAAAACACGTATAGTTGTTCCAGTCTAAAACTTGTTTAAAATAAAGATGCACCATTCTTTCGTTTCGCGATCGAGGATGGGATTCTGCATATCTACAAGCACCATGTGGTTCGTGACCTCGTAGTGACAGCAGAATGACATTAAACCCTAATCATATGACTCGTCAGACTTACGTTGTCGAATCGCGGGAGTCTTAACTCTGAACATTGGAAGGAGGGTGGAACTGAACCGATGGTAATAAAAGCCGGCTTTAAACCATCTCCAATATTTTTTATACCAAAGATACTACCCTGCTGATAAGATTGCATTTGTCTTTCAAAGGTTCTCATGAAGCAGGATAGCTCAGCAGTCCAGACAGAGCGAGATCGTCGTTAGATTGTAACAACTTGGGTTGATTAGTTGGTAGCTGGCCGCAAACATTTTAGTAATGTCGAAATATCGTGGCTTAAGTATTCATTCTCTTCCTTATTTTGTACGGACATTACGTTTCATACTGGTTCATATTGAATTTTGGAAAACTTTGTGTTGCTGAAAAAGATAACCTCGCTCTCCGATTGCTCTGCTCCATGATTTAAATAAAGACCCATTCATTACTAGTGCGATTTCATCTATCGATAGAACGAGGGGTATTTAGTGGCACGAAAATATCATATGGGTTGGGTAGTGACATTATGATGATTAAACAGTAATGAATTGTTTGTTAATCTAGTAACATAAACGAGTTTTTTATTACTGAACAAGAGTCCTAACTTCTACAGCTCTTCATGAAGCCGACTCAGTAATGCGGAAGCAAATCTACAGGAAGTTGATGACCAGGTAGATGATCGAAAATCAGATACTCCGTAACCAAAGAGGATAACTAGGACAGTGCTAGTCCTAAGTTTATTTATGTACCGATATTGATAGTTCCAACCTGCTTAGTCGACCGAGTATAAGGTGGGAGTATTTTGAACTTGTGGGATAATTTGACTAAGGTTCAATATCATTCAGATGCTCATACTATAGTACTGAAACCGGAATCAGCAACTACAGATTGCTTAGGTATTAGGTTTGATATTGAACTTGAAATTTCAGATTTAGTTAAGTGAAGATAGAAAACACTTATTGTCGTGTTTGGTTTTTGGATGACTAGTACTAAGCTTCCAAATACCACTCTGCATACTGAAACTAATTTCTGATACCGAAGTAATGAAAGACTGCGGAAAAAACTATTTTGTTATCATCAATTACGAGACAAAATTGCTTGTGTGGATCAATAGTCGTTTTCA